CAGTAGTAGTAGTAGTAGTAGTAGTAGTAGTAGTAGTAGTAGTAGTAGTAGTAGTAGTAGTAGTAGTAGTAGTAGTAGTAGTAGTATCTATTATTAGTAGCATCATTATTACTATTATCATTAGTATTATACATTAATTTGTTTTCTATTTGTTTTATTTGTTCAAAGTCATTGTTTTCCTTAGGCACTTTGTTGGGGTGATTTCCGATAATATACAACTTAATTTGAAATGTTCGACTTGTTTCACTTATTACCCATATCTTCAACACAAATACTCTCTCTCTCTCTCTCTCTCTCTCTCTCTCTCTCTCTCTCTCTCTCTCTCTCTCTCTCTCTCTCTCTCTCTAACTACCACACACACACACACACACACACACACACACACACACACACACGCACATATACATACACACAAACACTCCCCTCCCTTCACATTCACACTATATAAAAAAACAAGTCCACCAAACAGATAGTTTTCATCACAGCGCAATTGTTGTCCCAAACAGTTCCTATTTCTGGGTACAAGAAAGGCGTCAGGGATCATACAACTAAAAAATAGGATTCACATTAGACGAACATCTTTTTTGCGTCACAGAGCTGGACACCCTGTTTAGAGAAGTCCAAATTATATAATAAACACCATAAAAGAAATATATGTGTGTGTGTGTGTGTGTGTGTGTGTGTGTATGTGTGTGTGTGTGTGTGTATGTGTGTGTGTGTGTGTGTGTGTGTGTGTGTGTGTGTGTGAGAGAGAGAGAGAGAGAGGGGGGGGGAGGGGGGGGGGGGGAGGGGGGGGGGGAGGAAAGGACCACAACTCTATGGGATGTACCTTGGAGGAACTATAATATAGTTACTCCAAGGGATGTACGGGTGGATTCAGGCCAAAATATCGAGTTATCAGGGGGGAAACCTTTGAGAATTAGGTGAAGGAAACGCCGATAGGAAATGTGGCTGTGTGTGCTCGCGGGTGATCCGATTTTGTATGTCTGCTGTGTATGTGTGTGTGTATGTGTGTGTGTGTGTGTGTGTGTGTGTGTGTGTGTGTGTGTG